ACAGAGGCAAATGGCGTAAAGAAACTTGTCCATAGTTTCACCCTGCCCGAGGATCGAACCTGGGTCCACTCGCTTGCGAGGCGAGCATGCTGACCATTACACCACAGGTCGTCACACACACACACACACACACACAGTATTCAGGATAAGTGTTGCGTCTCTTCATGTTATGCAAAAAGAAAATAATAATATACACATTAAATCATTCCACTCGCCTCGAAATCATGAGTCTCTCTCTCTCTCTCTCTCTCTCTCTCTCTCTCTCTCTCTCTCTCTCTCTCTCGTAGACGCATACAAGAGGTAATCATTGAGGCTTGATTCAGCTGTTGAGTGTCAGTGACGTGGGCTGGTTGTTGGTGGTGGTGATGGTATTACAAATAAGAAATCCCGTCGTGTCAACACCAGCCTGACGAAGATGTTCCTCCAGCCACTGATTGTATATTGAAGGAGTCTGAGGAGAGGGTGTTGAAAATACCATGTTGTAGGGGAAGTAGAGACAATTTTTTTTCTCACAGTTAAATACCATTCTGTACCTAAAATTGTCTTCAGAACAATGGATGTTTTTTTTTGTTTTTATATCAAGACAAAAAGTGTTTTCTTTAAAGTAAAACATTAGGTATATGAGTTGATATTTTCTTGGTGTCAGAGGTTGGGTTATGGTAAGACAAAATATGCTATTGATGAACCCAAAGACTTATTGAATTATATTAAAAGGAAACAAGTATGAAGACTCCTGACACTCTCCTGATACTAAGAGAGTGATGAGGGCGCTATAAGTGATGTATTCCTGACACTTTGATACAACCGATGTATTCTTGGTATCATAAAGTAATGATGTATGATATTTGGTGTATTTCTTTTGATACCACGAGAAGTGACATCATTTGACTGGTTGAGTGAAGATGTCATTCCAAGGTGTTCCTAATACCAGAAGATGATGACGTCACTACGGGTGATGTGTTTACGTGGTGGGCAGCGGGGTTCGTCTTCATTACCTCCCTGTTCCCGTCCATCAAGCCCTGGGTGTCCGGCTGAACCACCAACACCACCAATACCATCACAACACCAACAGTACTAGACGAACACCACTATCACAACAACAACACCACAACACCATTATCACCATCACAACACCATTACTACCATCACAACACCATTACCACTATCACAACACATTATCACCATCACAACACCATTACTACCATCACAACACCATTACTACCATCACAACACCATTACCACCATCACAACACCATTACCACCATCTCATCAACACCACCATCTCAACATCAACACCATCTCAACATCAACACCGCTGTCACAACACGACCACTACCATCACAACAAAACACCACCACAACACAATACCACCATCACAACACCCCCAGCAACACCAACACAACACCACCACCATCACAACACCGCCACCATCACAACACCACCACCATCACAACACCACAACCATCCACACCACTATCACAACACCACAACCACTATCACAACACCACTACCCACACCACCACCACCATCACAACACCACCACCACCACCACCACCACCACACCACAACCATCACAACACAACCACTATCACAACACCACAACCATCACAACACCACTACCACCACCATCAACACCACCCACAACACCAACACCACCACCACCACCACAGTACCACCATCACAACACCACTACCACCATCACAACACCACCACCACAACAACAACATTAACACAGAGAATTTGGCTGATTGAACGTAAATTAAATTCACCTCTTTCGTAACAAAACAATTTCTTAGGCCAATTATGTCTGGGTTGTTTTAGAGGGGGGGAGGAGATGGAGAGAGGGGGGTGAGTGGGAGAGGAGGGGGAGAGGGGTGAGTGGGAGAGGAGGGGGAGAGGTTCTATTTATCAAATTTTCCAAAGGGTTAAAGACCAATTACCTTGTATTGAACGACGTGTAGGAATAATGGGATGGTTGTGTGTTATCTTCTCCTCTGGTTCTTTCATCCTCTTCCACATCCTCTTCCTCCCAATCCTCCTCCTCCTCCTCCTCCTCCTCCTCCTCCTCCTCCTCTTCCCCTTAACCCCTTCTCTTTTCATCCTCCTCCTCGTCGTCTCCTTTACCCTTCATCATCTCCCCATCCTCCTCCCCATCTCCCTCTTCTTCTCCTCCCTAGTTTTCATCCCTACTCCTCCCCATCCTCTCTTCCTCTCCTCCTCCTCTTTCTCCCCACCCCCCTGCCCTCATCCTCTTACCTGTCCTTTCCTCCTCCCCTAATCCTCCTCCCTCTCCTTTCTCCTCCTCCCTCTCCTCCTCCCTCTCCTCCTCTGTCTCCTCCTCCTCCCCTCTCCTCCTCTCTCCTCCTCCCCTCTCCTCCTCCCCTCTCCTCCTCTCTCTCCTCCTCCTCCTCCTCTTCTCCCTTCTCCTCCTTCTCCTCCTCTTCCTTATTTTTATTTTTATTTATTTTGTTTTTAGACTAAACATTTAAGAGTCACCCCAACACAACTTCCCCCCAAAACGTATCATATCGCCCATTTATAAATCAGACCCACAAAATACCTCCATCTTATTTCAGTGAGGAGGAGAATCACCGATTAATTATTCAACTCCCGAGTTAGAGTTAGCGAAGCAGTGTGACAGATGCGTGTGTTCTATCCTGGTGGTAAACACACACACACTCCGCTGCCCGCCCTGCACCTCCCATGTTTCGTCTTCTCCCTGTTCCATCCTTTCATCCTGCCCGTCCTTCCCCACCTAGCCTCCATCCGCCTAACACAGCTTTTTTTTACAGGTTTTATCTTCATGCGGGCACAGGTCACTGACCCACATCGGGGCCTGGGGGGCGAAAATGTAATGATAATAATAAAAATAGTAATGATAATAAAGAACCACAAAGAAATACAAAAATAAAAAAAAGATCAAAAGTGAGAAACGATATATGTATGTTGTGTTGTCAACAGGTAAGAGATACAATTGAGACCCTGCAATTGTGTGTAAATGAGGCAGAAAGTCAGATCAGCAACCTGAGACTTGGTCACAATTTTCGTGATGCCATACAGCAGCAGGGTCTACCATTAGACAATACATTATGGTTCCAATATCTTCCCAGGCGGTAGTACCTCCCTGTTTGGTAGCTGCATAATATGAGTCCCTATTTTCTTATCAGAGGCAGAGTGTTTATAGCCCATTCCACTATATATCTGCGCCATATTGGAGGTAAATTAAAGACCTGGGGGGGTGATACCTGCTTAATTATAATGTCACATAAGCGTCGTCTCGGCTGCAACTCTTGGGAAGCGAAGGTCGAGAGACTACTGGAAGGATGAGGTAAGAAGAGGAGTGCGAGGATGCTTAGTCGTGTGGGGTGAGGACAATGAAGGGAGGGTTATGGGTCATGGCAGGTCAGAGGTCACAAGAAAAGAGTCATGGGAGGTCAGAGGTCACAAGAGAAGAGGGTCATGGTAGGTCAAAGGTTACAGAAGAGAATCATGGTAGGTCAAAGGTCACAGGAGAAGAGGGTCATGGTAGGTCAAAGGTCACAGAGGAGAGTCATGACAGAGGAGGAGAGGAAGAGTGTAGAAGAGGCAGGTCGTGACATTTTTACCGTCACGTTTGTTGCCTCATGAGCTTGGATAACTTTTAGAGACTTGTAAGGGGGAAAAATTTTTCTCTTTCTTTCGTTCTCTCACTCTTTAATTCCTCTCTCTCTCTCTCTCTCTCTCTCTCTCTCTCTCTCTCTCTCTCAAAGATAATTCATTTAAATAACTCGGCTCAATTAAAGATTTAACTTTTGAAACTAAAAAAATAACTAAAGAAAATTGTTTGAATTTGTTACTTTAATGTTTCCTCTGTGCCATCACCTGTCCGTATTTATTTTCTGTACTTTAGTTAATTACATATCCAGTGTTGTTACCTGTTGAGTGAAGCGTAAAGGGATATTACAGTATTTCAACGCAAGACGAGTATGTAGGTATATCATAGTGTTTCAACGCCAGGCTACTTGTATGAAGGGCAGTGCTTTGATAGATTTTACACACACACACACACACACACACACACACACACACACACACACACACACACACACACCTCTTATGCAAGTCTTAATGGTAAAGGTGGGGTTTTTTTTATCGGAAATAATGACCACTTTGACAGGGAATTATAAAATGCTGTATAAAAGTGGTGAAAGGGAAGGCCTCAGGGTTGAACCAGCGTAAAGATGTGTTGTTGTCAAAGGTGGAACTGATTTAACAAGGGAAGGCGAGTGGTATAAGGACATTGAATGGAAAGGGGCGTAGGAGAGGGGTGATAGGGGGTGGGAAGTACTATAGGACAGGGAGGGGTGATGATAAGGGATGGAAGAGGTGGTGGTAAGGGGTGGGATGGGTGGTGGTAAGGGAGGGAGGGGTGGAGGTAGGGGTTGTGGTAAGGGGAAGGGTGGTAGTAAGGGAGGGAAATGTGGTGGTAAGGAGTGGAAGGAGTTTGGAAAGGAAGAGGGATGGGTTGTGGTAAAGGGAAGGGTGGTTGTAAAAGGAGAGATGGTCGTAGCGGGTTGGAGGGGTTGTGACAGGGGAAGAAGTATGACAGGGAGAATGGTTCATGACGAGTGAGGGAGACGGTACAGAAATATACCTCGTCAGGACAGTGTTCCTCACACACACACACACATTAGGTCATCAGTGAGGAAATTGTCAAAGAAGAAAATATTCACTGAGGACGAGGCAGGAGAGAAGAGGTAGGAGGGAGGGAGGTTTGAGGAAAGGATGAGAGAGGGGTGGGGGGAGTTGTGTTTCCGGAAAGGTCATGCAGGAGGAGCCTAGGAAAGGCTCAGAGAAGGGTAAATGAGGTGACAGGGGTAAGAAACGGAGGTAGAGGAGGTGGAAACGGGGGTAAGAGGTGAGAGAGGTAGGAGATGGGAGGGGTAGAAGATAAAAAAGCTGGAGGCGGAGGTAAAGGAGGTGGAGGCAGCTCATGGATCACGTACACACACTACAGCACCCCACTGCGACTCACCTTTGATGCCGTGAAGCACCGCCCGCGGCCGCACGCTGTGAGGGAGAGAGACGAAAATTATCTATCGTGTGTATTACCTCGAGCTACATTACTTGACTTTGTGACATGGGAACTCTGGGAAGGTGTGTGTGTGTGTGTGTGTGTGTGTGTGTGTGTGTGTGTGTGTGTGTGTGTGTGTGTGTGTGTGTGTGTGTGTGTGTGTGTGTGTGTGTGTGTGTGTGTGTGTTTTATGTCATTTTTCTCGTAAATATTTTTGAACCGACATTTATTTGTTTTTCAAAAGCTCTATTTCCTGGATATCTTACTGTAAATATACATCCGTGTGTCCGTAACTCCCGACGTGGTGACGGGCTGGTGAGGGCGTCTCCTCACCTGTCAACCACAACATAAGCGACACGGTGACAATATTTACTCTGTTTCTGATCTACCACAAAACTTAAAGTCTTGTCGGTCAACATATAGCATTGTTATGTTTGCACACACACACACACACACACACACACACACACACACACACACACACACACCTACCCCTGACTCTGCCATGCAGCGTTTCGGACAATGGGTGACCCGGTATCCCTGGATTGAAGTGATCACGGTAGACGATGTGCAGAACAAGTGGGATAATTACCTGGACACTATCACCAAAACCTACCACCACTTCTTTCCAGCCAAGACACTGAGGATCCACCCCGATGATGTCCCGTGGATTACACCCCTTATCAAAAGACTAATTGAGCAGCGCAACAAGGCATACTACACCGACAACCGCCTGTACAAAAGTCTACGTAACCAGGTCATCAGGGAAATCAAGTCAGCCAAGAAGTCTTATTATCCCAGGAAATTGCACGGCCTCAAGGAGGTCGGCATCGGTCAGTGGTACTCTAAGGTAAAAGATCTCTGTGGTCTCAACCTTCGTCTCCCACGCTTCCTTTCATCTCTCATTTACCTAGTGAGGAGGCAGCTGAGATAATTAAGAACCACTTTGCTACCAGATGTCATACCCTACCCAGTCTTGACCTCTCTCTCCTCCCGGCTAACTTACCTTCCCCCTCCCCCCCTCCCAGTGTTCAGCCATTTGAAATTGCCAACAAACTCCTGAAATTTAAATCCAAACGCTCCACAACCCCAATTGACCTCCCAATCAAAATTTACAAGAAGTTTTCAGTCAAACTTGCCACCCCCCTCTGTTCTATTATTAATGCATTCCTCAGACAAAGCAAATGCCCTAATTAATGGAAAACCGCATTTGTCACCCCTATCCCCAAGGTCCCCACCCTACAATCCCCTAACGACCTCAGGCCAGTTGCCATTACCCCCATACCCAGTCTACTCTGTGAAGACTTTGTTTTTGAGTGGGCATTTGCTCGTATTTATCAGTAAATTGATCCACAGCAATTTGGCAATATGAGGACCTCCTCTACATCACACTGCTTAGTTAGTTTCCTGGATTTCCTGCACTAAAACCTGCAGAAACATGAGACATCACTGGCCGTTGCCCTTGTTGACTTCAGGAAGGCTTTTGACCTTGTTGATCACTGCACTGTTATCAACAAGGCCATTACACTAGGGCTGCCCACCACCCTGGTCTCATGGCTCACCGATTTCCTGAGTGAGCGATGTCAGGCATTCTCCACATTCCAACACCTCACCTGCGGTGTTCCCCAGGGGACCAAGATGGGACCACTGTGCTTCCTAATCCTGATCAAAGACGCTCTGTCGGACACTCTTCACAGGTGGAAGTACGTGTATGACTGCACTGTGGGGGTTACAGCGGACAACACCTTATCGGACTACTCATCGCTACAAGGCACCCTGGACAGGCTATAGGCATGGACTACGGAGAACAAGGTCACCATCAATCACAAACCAAAACCGTAGTCATGCACATCAACACCGCCACCACTCCAGTCCAAACTCCAGCAGTTACAGTGGGTGCCCAATAATAAAATTAGGGTGTGTCAATTTAGGGGGTGAACTGGCTAAATTGAAAATCGAGTAATTTGGTAGCAATTTATTGTAGTCTTTAAGCATGCAAAACAATATTCTGGCATAAATTTTTTTTTATAATAAGTCCTACCTACATCAAATGGATTTTTAAATGTACATATTTGTGAATTTATAACATAACCAGCGTTTGCACACATGTTACTGTTTCAAGTTTCAAATTATTATATTTTATTATCCGTAGTCTATTTGAAAGTAACCAATGCCTTCATACTCTCTTTGCTTTGGTTTCTTGTCATCAGTAGTCTGCTTGCTATTTGTGCTTTGATGTAACCTTCTCGCCTCTCGTGGCTGTAAACATGGCCCGCTGCTTCTGTGACCATTTTCACACATCTCTCCACACTTTGAGTGTGGGAAGGCCACTTCGGCACCTGCATTGGAGTCTCTTTAAGGTTTCTCAATTCTTGGCTAGTTAGACTTGTTGTCAATGGTGGCTCTAAGACTTCCAAACTCAAGTCAACCAATTCTGACAATTTGGTGGCATTGACGTTTATTGGGGGAACTTTTCTTGAATGAAACGAACAGTCTCCCAACTGGTCGTCATCTATTAGCGTTCCTCTAATCTTTAGAATGACTTCTACAGCCTCGGTTCGGAGATTGGTACATTGACTGCAAAGCATTGCTTGCAAAACTGCTTCTGATCGAGCATACCAAGCGGACCTTCTTGCCACAGGTAACACGATGTCCCTCACTACCTTCCTCTGTGTTCTTACTAGCTGCAATTGAAACAAAAGGTGATTGGGCCCATCCACCCACATAGGATTAAGTTTCACACTAAACCACTGGGGAAGATAAACTCCAATAATAAATTCAACAATTAACCTCAAATTCTTCAGCACTTTGCCCTTCAATTCGTGTTTGGAAATCCAAATCCTGCAGAAACGAAGAGCTGTAGTTAACCAACGGCTGTGACTGACAGGTCCAATCTCCAAGAGAGCCAATGACTGAGGCACTTCTCCTGATCTTATTGCTTGGGCAATACGATAAGCATAGGATTGATCTGTGCTGAGATCTTTGATGACTCCTTCAGACAACGCCGGAAGGGGAGGGCCAACTTCGACCTTTGGAAAGGTTGTATTTATTTCTAGTTGTGTTGCTTCATCCAGCATGATGCCAAGGGGACCTGACCACTTGTTGTTGCTCTTTGTAGGACCATCAAGTTCCTGGATGAGATGACGAAGAGGTAGCTCGCCTGTATGTAAATCACATACAATCCAAACAAGTCTTCTTCCTAGTTTTTTCTCTAAATGCGTCATTACACCCCCCTGCCATCCGGTGTTCACTGCAGTTGAATCTCCACCAACAGCCTGCAGTGAACTGCCAAGTCCTCTCTCCTGAACCCAACATAAAATATGATCAGCAATGACCTCTGCATGTTTCTTCCCTTCTACTTCAGTTTCGGGAGCAAAGTGAAACAAAAACCGACCACCAGGCTCAGAACAGACAGAGTAGTGTTCTTCTTTGATGAGACCTGGAAACTTTCTGTTCACTCCCTCTACTTCTAGCAAAACTTTTGTGTCATCTATTCTTCCATCAAACAAAAGACAGGAGAGCCCTCCCTCGCTTAAATCTTTTTCATGCTGATCAGATATTTCCTTCATTATTTTTTCTTGTGCTCTTCTAATTTTATTATGATCTATCACCAAAGATACATCCTCTCGGCTGATGAGGCCTGCATCTATCCAAGCGGCAGTTGCAATTTCTGCAGCCTCACGAAGTCCAGCATGGTGGCGAATACTAGCTAAAGCAATGTTTGAAATATTTCTTGTGTTGTATTTCATTTTCTTTGGTAAAGGTTCAGATGGCTCTTTGGAACTATCATCTGATGTTGCTTCCTGTTCATCAGAAGAACTATCAAAGAAGTGATAAACATCTTGACACAGCTCTTCCTCTCTTTGGATGGCTTCTTCACTCTTCATTTTCTTCTTTTGTTCCCTCTCTCGGATTTGTTCTCTCTTCTTGGCATTAGCAATCTGCTTCTTTGTTTCTGAATAATCTATTGAACCCATTTGCATACTTCCTTGGCCTTCTGCCTTTGTCCTCTGTGCCTTTATAAATTCAAGCTCTAAAACAGGGATCTTCTTTTCACGAGGACAACCACAATCAATGTGGGAATTATTTTCTCTCTTACCTGTGTGAGAACAGTTGGATTCAGAACATAATTGTATGGAGCACTTGCAGGTCAAAATGTCAAACAGAGTATCAAGTGTGTGCAGAAATTCATTTTTCCTGGCCAAGTTTCCTTTACCAAGTGATGTTTCAACTGCTTTGTGCCATAATTTCGTTAGTTTTAGCTCAATAGTTCGACACTGATTAATCACAGGTGGTTTGAATAGTGCATTAGCTTTTGTCCATTGATGCAGAAGAGGGACTATCATGTCATTTATGAGTTCTTTATCTGTATAGTTCCTTCTGTCCTTTGCATTTTTTTCTCGAAGGAGTAACCCTAATCTTAGCATGTCTCTCACTGTTGGAAGTTCTGATACAGGAAGCTCCTTCCCTTTACCAACTAGCAGGCTCAAGTGGGTTGACAACTGACTTCTTGTCTTCAATTTTGACATCTTCACACTATCTGACAAATAGAAAAATATTTCAATGTTTCATAATTCAATTGTTGTTTCAAAAAATATCAATTTGTTTATCAAAAATGCTGTAACAGAAATAACATAATAATTTCTTAGAACATAATGTTTTATACAATGATATAAGTAACTGCGACAATCAATATGCCCTACTTACAATAATTAAAATGTAGAATTCGTCTGGTAGAGTAGGTGCAAGTGCAATGAGAGCAAACCACCGTCTATGATATCTAGAAGGAGAGTGAGCCGGGCGCCTTATCCTCACGCTTGGTACAAGTCAAAACAAGAATTAAACTGTCCCACACGGAGAGCCTGTTCATGTTCATGTTCTGACATGCATATTGTACACAAGCTATAGAACCATAAAATACTCCATAATCCATATGCTTACATGAGATTAGTTAATATCAAGTGAATAATTCTAATCAAGTCTCATTAATTTGTTG